CTAAGCAGGCACTTTTTTTCTACTTTGAGACAGTCTTGCTAACTTACTAAATTGTCCAGGCTAGACTTCAACTTGTGATCCTCCTGCCTCAGCCTCTCAGAGTATCCATCCCAGCTGCTGGCCCATTCTGAGTCATCCTGTTCTTTATGAATGTGGTATCTTGCTCTGTGTATCTGTTTATAGGTCTTCCTGCTCTGATAAACTTTAAAGCTACACTGAATGCCTACTAGGTTCAAGCTACTGTGATTATAAGAGAAACTAACCACAGCCTGGTCTTCCAGGAGAGCAGGGTGTAGAACAAGACATTGCTGGGAGGATTGCCAATGGGCCAGCAGATGTGTGCCTAGGATGGTGGTGGGACAAGCGGGGGAGACCAGTTCTGGTTTCCAGCAGAGTTAGCGTGGAGCCAGGGCCTGAAGGATGAGGAGAGTTGTTGCCCAGGACTCTTGGTTTGGAGAGGGCCTGCTTGGTGAGGTGGACCAGCCTGTGAAGGAGAAGGCCAGGAGCTGGCAGCTCACCAATGTGTATCTCAGATATTAGCAATTCTTGCTAGGGAGCAGATGTGCAGAAAAGATGTGCTGCTTGTAGACCGACTAAGCAACTGACTGAATGAACGTAGTGTTTTACTCTTTGGGGATGGGGAACCAGAGTGACTCATTTATTTCTTGACTGATTTTAGATGACCACTCAGGGTTCACAATACATCAGCTGCACTTTCTCATCCGTGTGTTGTCCTAGAATAACCTGGGGTGCGCAATAGCCCGGGTTCTCGGGTCCCTCTCCTAGAGAATCAGATGCATTGGGCCTGTGATAGAATCCCATGCAGAATCTATCTCTGTTTAAGAGATGTCCTAGAAAACCCCAGGGATGAGCGAGTTTGGAGACTTCCACTAGCAGGAAGGCAAGCATGATCTAGGTGCTTAGGAAAAGCCTGTTGTTCCAGAACCCACCCAGAGGTTCCTGAAATCGGGCCATCACAACCCTGGCTTCTCTTAGGGTCACTGAAGATTGAGACAGCAGTGTGAGGCAGGGCACAGGACCTGGTTTTCTAGAAAGTTCTCTGGTCATGCTGCAATGTGCTTTGGGTTGAGACTCACAGTTCCCTGCATTAAGCCCTCCCCAAGACTAGCACTGAGTGTAGCCTAAGGGGCTTCCAGCACTTGCAGGTCAGGGTTTCTCCTGGCTGGACCTCAGGAACCTCCTAACACCTCACCCCCCTGGTCAGTTAGGCCAGAACCTGTGTGGACCAGCAAGAGGTTAGGCGCAGTCTTTCTCAAAAGCTTTCTCATCTGTTTTGAACAGGTGGCCAGGCATGAGGTTGTTGGGATAGAGATGTACTGGGCAGGCCAGTTGTGAGGGCCAACACCTTCTCAAGATTTGGAAATCTCCACAGGAGGCACAGGGCAGCCTCTTCCACAGCCCCAGCCTGAGTCAGGATGTAGCACACCTTCCAGATTCCAGAGATAAGGCTGTAAAAGCCTTCTCAATAGAGGCCTTTGACAGGCCATCCTGTGATTACTTACTCAGTATTTCCCTAGCAGATCCATCAGCTCCACGGTGAAAGTGCCAAGGAGAAGACTTGGCTTAATGGCTGTGCCTCTTTTTGGCTTGGTTGCCATCATTTCTGTGGGAGCAACAATTACCTCTGGTTTTGCAGTTCTCAGCATCGTTCAGTGGTGGAGGGGGCATCTTAGGCTCCTTTGCCCTTTCCCTGGACTGCTGCTAACTACAGGCTGATGTCCAGATGTGCTGGGATTACAGGCATGTACCACCATGTCCTACCATCAGAAAGTTTTGACAGAAGTAAGAGCCAGACTCGACATACTTTTCTCAAAGGTCAAGTTTTAATTCTGGCTCAAGAGACTGAAGAGTATTGGGTGTTCTTTGTTTTATTCTTTACTTAATTGGTTTTTTTTTTCTTTTCTTTCTTTCTTTATTTTTTTTTTCTTCAGTACTGGGGATTGAACTCAGGACCCTGCTCTTGCCAGGCAAGCGCTTATTCTACTGAGCCATCTCCCCAACCCCTATTCTTTAGGGAAGATTGAACCTAGTGGTGCTGTATGAGTGAGTTGCCCCTGTTTTTTAAAAAAATGTTTATTTTGAGACAATGTCTTTTTAAACTGGTCAGAGGACGGGGAGATGGCTCAGTAGAATAAGTGCTTCTCTGGCAAGCGCAAGGGTCTGAGTTCAAACCTGGCTGCACTAAAAATAAATAAACAAGGGGCCGGGGAGATGGCTCAGTGGAATAAGCGTTTCTCTGGCAAGTGCAAGGGCCTGAGTTCAATCCCCGGTTCCGAAAAAGAAAAAAAAATAAACAAACAAAAAGTGGTCAGGACTCTAAGTTGGCTTGAACTTGGGATCCTCTTGCTTCAGCCTCCTGAGTAGCTGGGATTATAGGAGTACACTGTGGCACCTGACTGAATATCTTTGAAATCTACCATGTGGTGGTTCATGCCTCTAGTCTCAGCACGTGGGAGGCTGAGGCAGGAGGATTGTTGCTAGTATGAGACTACCCTGGGCTATATAGTAAGATCTTACATGAAGAATTTTTTTTTTTTTTTTTTTTTTTTTTTTTTTTTTTT